GATAATTTATTAACTAAAAGTGCCTCCTGAATTTAGCGTTTCTCAAATTGAACCATGTAATTATTTGCTAAAATTGGTAGCAAACACGATCATATAACCTAACCTCTTGTTTGTTTGCACAGTTTTACCATTAAATGTAAAATATATACGGTCATCTCTAGGTTGGTTAGTATCATTATTGATACTTATTTAAAATCGCGATGTTTTATGCATCACGCTTGTCTTATTATACACAATACTTCAAGGCGGCACTCCATTTTTATGTATTTTGTGCAGACCATATGCATTCGGAGGCCAATGTCTCGTTAAGGAAACGCGTTTATCTTCTACTTCCTTAACTCCCCATTTGTTACACAATGCTGTAGGCAACCCCTGAGTCTAGATTTAATGGTTTCTTTAGGGTCCCTACTGATTATCTTGTATGTAGTAGTGTCATCCAAAGTCTGTATCATTTTTTCTGCATAGCCTAACCTATCCACAACTACAACTGCTCCTCCTTTGTCTGCCCTCGGCATCATTTGGTTCTTATCTTTTAGTTTCCTTATGATGTTTTCCACTTTCTTATTCCTGGGTGCTGTTTCCACATGGCTATCAATGAAAGGAACGACCTGTAATTCAATTTTACTCGTAGTTTCTTCTGGAAGATGGACGCTAAAACTTATGAGTTTCACCTGGACCTCCTCGCTATTATCTTTACTGTTTGGCAAAGCATAGTTCAAATCGTTCGAGAGCATTTCGACACTGGTAACCTACGATGCTATTTTGGAGAGGTTTACCACTTTCTCACCAACTGTCCTATGTTCCATAATATCTCTCATAGACGTATTTTAATAAGCCTTTCTCCTGATTTTTATGCTCAAGTGCCTAAGTTTCTTGTCATGTCTGTATATCATATAATCTGTCCGGCATTCTTTGTAATCTAGAGAAATCCTTCTAGTTAAGAGTACTCGTTAGTGATTGGCGTAGTCTGGGAGTGAAATTTTATGTTTCCTTGGGCCCTAATATTAAATAAATCCTGGGATGCCCTCTGAAAGACTCGCTTAGTTCTACTAGGCAAATTTGGTCTATTAATATTATTACTATTATTTCAATTATCACTAGTTAAGTTTTGTCATTCTTATGTATGAATTTTTTATGGACTTTGTTCTTATCTTAGGCTATACAAGACTTACACTATTCTTCTGCCTTCTGAACATAGTCTTTAAAATTTATGTATTTAAATGTCGGCTCTTATTCTATAGTATACTTAAGCTATTGTGTACGGCTATTAAACCCATATTTAAGTGATGGATGTGTTCTCATCCAGGATGGACTGCGTTTTCGACCTCGCCTAGGTCATATCTCAAGCGGGACTCGAACCAATCCTTCATTTAAAACAAAATAAGGTGAACATAACTCATAGATCTGATTTACTGCTAGCCACTGTAACCTACTCAAAAATGAAATTTAAGTAATGTCGTCGATTGTTATAGCAACTATAAGTTTGCTTCATCGGCAATCCCAACACAGAATGTGATATGGGAAAATGCATGGCCTTCCTTGAAATTCACATCTACTCTGTTAGTCAGGTGCGCTCGTATGTGTCGTAGTAGTTGATATGTCGAGATTGCACACTGTACTTTGCTGGTTCGACTCCCACTGGAGGTGTTGCTAAGACCTGGGCGATGTCGAAACTGCAGTCCACTCTGGATAGAAACACCTTTTGGGAAGGCAAGGCTTTGTGAAATTCAGTGGAAGCGTTAGCTCTACTCACATCATTGTTTGGAAATTCAACCACCAGTCCTTCATTATCTTAAACGCAATAGGGCGATTGTAACTCAGATTTGATGTATTGGTAGTCACGAGAACCTACTCAAACACGTAACATATTTAATTTAGTTCTATTTATTTTTTTCTTCAAGAACACTGCTACCTTTACTTGACCCTAATCATTTTTTCGTCGGCTTCTTGTTGGCAAAATCTTGTCAGCATCGCTTTCTTAGACTATTTAGCAACATACTTTGAATTTAAACAATTATGCTTGGTATGCCTACCATATATTTTCACCTATGCTGCCGAATTCAATTGTTCCGCCTGCCAAACATTTCGATTATTATCTATGAACAACTAAAATTTTATTCTTGAATTTGTCTAATATTCTGTTTTGACAAAAGCCAAATCAATTACGTGTATCTTAAGAGCCAGGAAAATGATTCCATTTTATAGAAATCAGGTAACAGGGAAATCCAAATCTCTCTGAGTTTAATGATTTATTTTTGCGAGCTCATGTAATTGACCTTAAATTAAATCAACAGCGTAAACACCAATTCGTATTGCCTATTATTTCTTATAACCATAGCTCCTGATCACGTATTTAAGCGCAATCTTTTGCATGTTATTTTGGCTTATATTCATCAATAATTATTACAAATCGTGTTGATTAAGTGTTTCATATTCGTAGATTTTTATTCATATTCTTATGTGCTCTTCTATATTATCGACATCACAGCGAATTACCATATCGTATCACTATCGAATCCTTAAAGAAAGTTGCCCAGTTACAGCGCTCTGTTGTATTTGTGTCAGTATGCGATGACACCTAAAAGCACTATCTTATTTTTCTCGTTTTCTCCACTTATCTCGGGAATCGAAGGATTTTAAAATTTCGGTTTTATGATTTGCTATTTTTAATATTTGACACTCGAATTTTGCTGCCGGGCTATTTTTGCACACTTTTTGGGGAAATTGTTGAATAAGCTAGAGTTTTGGTAACCTAATATACATCAATCATCGATCCCACATTTTTTTCCTATGCCTCCAACCACGGTACTAAGTCACAATTCTCACCTTCTGGACACCTGCCTTTTCCTCCCACAGGTACCTCCGGCGTCATTTCAACACATATTCCTTGCACGGCTGAGGCGGTCACTGAAAGCACTGTCCAAAGTGACGATAAGCTAATTAAATCACTAATCTCAACTGATATGGTTTCATCATTGGATCGTCAGCTGGGCCAGTATTCCGCCTCCGAGGCTATCCCTTTAACATCCCACATGGTACCAAGGCAAAGGGGTCATGATAGTCTCCGTCAATTTGTTTTGCGTTGCCAACAACACAAATGGCTGTCTAATGTATCGATGGGTCGCCGTTTCTTATTGAACCCGTTTTCTGTTGATCCGGACCCCTTTGAAAATTACGATTATTCTGTACCAAATGTTTCTGATACTTTGAACTCAGCTTGTGTATACTCTGATGCAGACTTTGAATCCTGCTCCAAATCTGGGGAAGCAAAATGGGACGTTATTTTAAAGGCTCAGAAAACTAGGCTGGCAACGAACAGAAGAATCTTTTGCGCTTTCCGAGGTTTACCTCAGTTTGGACTATGGGATGCTGAGGTTGGTGATACCGAGTCGACCAGTGATGGCTCATCTGAAAGTCTCTCTAACCTAACCAAGTAAGTTGGGTGAAATTCTGTATTATCCCTATTATCTAGTTCGGAGCAGCTGGTAGCACTGGTAGCTTCTTGCTAGCACAACTGTGTTTTAATTGCATATCTTTCGTGAGTAGCTTATTGTTTTCGAGATGTACCCTTAAATCAAAAACGTAATAAAGTACATCGTTGCGTAGTGTATTTAGACGGATGGTAAACATGTAGGGGAAGGATATGATATAACACAAAGGGGTATTGTGAATTATGAAATAATAATTTTGCGTCAGCTCTCTTGCACGCAGGTCGAATCTTACCGAGCGATGGTGAGAATCGCATTTTGGTTTTGATGGAGTATTTTCTTTAATTATGGATAGATTCGAAAAAAAGCTTTGATTAAATATTTAATTGATAGTCGAAATCTTGCTCTGTATATGATGCAAACGTTGGGGATTATTTGCATTCCTAATTAAAGCGTTCCCCATTTCGAACTCTCACTGTGTTATTAAAAAGGGCGGGACTCGTAATGTGTAGAGATGGAATCGAGTATTTTTTCACATTTTAATCTGTCATCTAATTTCACAATTACACGAAGATGTTTTGACGTGGAGTCTCCGAAACCCACACAACTTTGTTTTTTGGACCAGTCTATTGTGTATTCTGTATTAGGTGTGTTTAGCTAGCTCAGATTTTTTACCCATAGATCTTTACAAGCTGTTTTCTCTTCGCATTGTCTCTTCTGGATGCTTCGGCAGGTCTCCACTACAGCTTACCATATCAACACAACCTTTTGTAGCAGCTTGATTGAAAAAATTCTCTAAATAAAGGAAGTGTTAATTTCCCTCTTTACATATTGTTGTGACGTTCCACTTCCTCAGTACATCACCCAACTTGTTAGCAAGCTTTCAGGGAGGCAAAATCAGGAACCGAGTAGAATGGTTCATTTGTCTATCCCGTCCCATTATGCAAACTCCCATTATCTAGGTATGAAGGCAAAGATGGTTCGGAATTTTGTATGTTCGCAGTCTCCTTTCGTTGTATGGATGTGGTTTGACCTTGTTTTCGCAACTTAGTCATATTGGTATGAAGACTTAGAGAAGCACACCTAGTCCGGAGTCAATAGTATGCATGATAATTTCCAGAGTCGGACCGTGGAAGTGGTACATTCTCAGACGTTTCGCCGGCATCGTCAGTGAGCGTTACCAGTTCTAGCAGCGCACTACAACTCGTCATAGATAAGTCAAGCCGATCCTTTGACCAATTGTCTGCTAAACAATCATAGTATCTCTCCTTCCGCCCTCGGCTGATCACCAATCGTGTATCCTCACGATTTTTTAATTTTTATTTTTTACTTGCTTATTTAAATGTATCCTGTTTCCTTTTGAGCTGATTTCATGGGAAATCTTCACCCCGCTTTATCATCCCGCTTCACCATTGTGCTGGGAATGCTCATCAGAGTCTGCCATATTGTTGCGCAGCCTAGAATTCAAAGAGGTCTTTTCAGAGTCTCCCTCTTGCCCCTTAGGATCCGTCTGCTATCCTTCTGGTTCAAGTATTTTAATCGAAACCCGCCACCCTATCTGTACTACTCGATGCGTTATCTCACATACTCTGCCTCTGAAAACTAAATTGATACTGAAGAACCCGAGTAAGTTTCACGGTCAAGCCTTTGCATCATGGGCCTCGTCTATGGTCAAACACCTCTACTGTTAGCCATCTAGCTCTTGGCTCTGCTGCATCTATCTTGCTTCTATCTATGGTCTAAGTATATGGCTTCCTATGCCCTGGTCTCTTGTGTGCCAAATGTTGTTGCCCTACTTGTTTTGATTAGGCTCACTGAAGACGTCTCATCTTGGCTTCTGACTGTTCGTTTCTGGTCTCCTTGCGATTTTAATTCTTAAAAGTAAAGATTGTACTTTGATCTATCGTCTTCTTTGTGCTGATATTACTATTTCCTTGTCTTCCCCGAGTTTGGTTAGACAATGTGCAACGTTTTTGCTGATCCTCTTCTTCAAGCCTCCTGATCATTAGATTTATTTTGGTCAGTATATCTATGGCGTTTGCTTGTATTTTTACAATATGCATCCAGCCTTCTTGCCGATTTCCTGTCCAGTTTGTGCAATGTGTTCCACCATTTCCGATCTTTTCGTATCTATGTTTTTGTGGAGTTTGATGTTCCTTGATTCGTAGGCCTATTTTTGTTCATGTTTCACCAATATACTTCTGCTCACAGTTGCCGCATTTTATGCGATAAACTCCCGAGCAGTCCAGTTTGTCTTTTTTCTAGTGTATGCGCTGACAGACTTGTGAAAAGTGTTATCTTCTCCTCTGTTATCACTTGTATGCTTCATTTCCTTAGTAACTATAGCTAATTTTGGCTCAGTTCAAATGTGGACAGACAAATCCACTTGATTGTCCTGATTCCTGTGCGGATTTTCATTAAATACGGATTTAAATTTGTCCTTTTTTACTGTAAATTCCCTGGGGCGTCAGTTATTAAACCAAATCCGTGTCAATTTGCCTAACTTATTTCAGAAATCAGTGTCTATTAGCCGTAAGCGTCCGATGGGCAAGCTCCTCAGTATTCCGATCTTCATTCGGCAGTTATGGTAAGACTAAAAATTAAGAATTATTCCCTGATATGAATGCTTTTTGTATAGTATTCTCCTCAGTGTCCCGTTGGAGTGCCTTATTTTTTATATCCAGAAAAGATAGTCTTTCCTCCTCTATTTACATTGTAAATTTGATTCTTTAATCAAGTTGGTTAATGAAATTGATTTAATCCATTTAATTTTTCCTTATCATGTGATCAAACTGTAAAGTAATCATCCAATTATCGCATAAACGCTCTTTGTTGCAATGGTGACTTCCAATTTGTCCATGCAAACATTTGCCAAAAGAGGTGAGAGTGAAGATCCCATAGGTAGTCCAAATATTTGCTTATAGATACTGCCGTTAAATGTAAAATATGTGGTCCTTACTGTCAGGTTGATCAGTCGTGTTAACGATTCTTCTATCCGTTCTACCTCCAGGTTATCTTCTTCTCGCTCCAATATCTCCAGAGAGGCGCTTACCGCCTACTCACCTGAGATGTTCGTGTACATGGATTGCATATCGAAAATCTCAAGCTGTTCCGACCCCACCAACCCAATGTTCTGGATCCTTTGAATTCTTAACGTTATTCGAGAGTCTGTAATTTACTTTCCTGAGTTTCAAGCAAATGAATTTCGCTAGTTTGTGTATTGCTCTATACTTGTTGTTGACTCTTAATCTTAGCGGATTTCCTTCCTTGTGTATTTTCTTTAGTCCGTCGGTTGTCGGTGGTCTTTCGTCATTTTTTTTAAAGATTTTATCATTTATCTATTAATTTCTATATTTTTATGCATTTCCTTTAGCATATTCTTCAGTGTCCCGTCGATAATCATTGTTGTATCCTTTTTTACTATTCGATAGTTGTTCCGGTCGCCTAGGATACTTTCTATTTTCTCCGTGTACTGTTTCCTGACCATTACAATCGTCGCTCCTCTCTTATCCGCCTGAAGAACTATTTGATCATTCTTTTGTGTTTTTTTTCGTATATCAGCCAATCTGCTCCTGTGTGTCGGTTTTAATGTATCAGGATCTGTGGGATTATTTTCAGTTCCATCTCCCACATTGTCTATTCTGGATATTTATCCGTTATGTTGACAACTTCCACTAGATGGAGGCGTGATAAAGTATTTCATTAAGTATGTCCGAATGAAACTTTCTTATTAATTACAGAATCGGGGTGTGATGCGAAATGGAAGGATTGACTAACATTTGTTTTTATTGTCCGGCTGTAATCAGCGCATTGTTTGGCAATTGTAATCCCATATTTTAATAGAAAATATGAATATCACGACGGTGTGGCCTTTTGTGTGGTCGCAGTTTAGTTATTTTAGAAGTTGGTAAATTAGGGAGAAATATTTATAGAAAACCAAGATATGTCGACTTACCAAAAAATAGTACTAAAAGTTGGAATGAGTGAAAGATTTGTGCTTAATTTATAATAAGGTTTTTTAATGAAGAATAACCCCTGAGTATTTAGTCAAAGATAGACAAGCTGAGACCTTTTCCCGTGCCATTATGTTTTATCTCCAAGACGACGGTGGAACTAGTGGGAAAGTGGTGATAAAAACAGTGTTCAAAGAAGCCCTCACACTTTTTTAAGGGCAAACATGGCTGATTATCGAAATCCGAGTGCTACAAAATTTTATTTTCCTCTAGTCGCCATTATGTTGTTGAGATGCGTTAGCCTATTCGCCAAAGATTAAGTGAACTCAAAAAAAGATTATAAAGGCAATTTGGTCCAATGGTTAGAAGTGACCGAATGCATGACAGAAAGAGATAAGAGAGGCTATTGAAATTAATAGAATGGGGAATACTTTGAATATGAGAAGTGGTGGTAAGAAGTTGAGTTATAAATGTTTATGTTTGATTAGATGATTTAAGGAAAGAGGGTGTTGAGACGCCATCAAAAGGTGACAAATTGTAGGCTAAGCGATGGTTCTAACTTCACTCACAGTTAGTTTGTTGGAATAATTTACATTTCGTTTGAAGCTGCAAATGGAAGTGATGCGTAATTTTTCCTTACCAGAGGCGAGGTGAGGCCGTAGAGCTATTATTGTGTGTGATTACGTCTTCGACTCACCGTCTCATGACCACGATGAAATCTTGTTAAGTCTTCTTCCGTCATGTGATGGACGTCAGCATAGCAGAGCACCATGCATTATAATAATCAACCAAGCGCGAATAGAAAAGCTCAGCAAGGATTTATTGGAGTCACTAGAAGGTGAGCCGATAACTTTAGAATAAATCTTTTAAGGGATTCTTAGAAAGCAAATTTTGAAATATCCTCAAATTTCAGTCTCAACTCAACTACAAATTGTAAATCGGAGTAATGAGTGGCATGAATAGCAGAAGCCTATGATTTGAAGAAGATGGAATTCTGGGAAGAATTAATCAAAGTGACTCAAGTGTCTCTTAGCAAAGGATACTTACAATACGGGGCTAGAAAAGCCAATGGCAGAATTTAAAATATGAAAGGAAAATAAGGATAGAGGAAAACGAATATCAGTGGAT